CAAACTTACTGAGGGAGCACTCAACCCCCTCGTCAATAAAGATACTAAACAAGACCGGTCCCAATACTGAGCCCCGGGGGACACCACTTGTGACCGGCCGCCAGTTGGATTTAACTCCATTCACCACCACTCTCTGTGCTCGGCCGTCCAGCCGGTTTTTAACCCAGCTTAGTGTGCACCTGTCTAGGCCATGAGCCGCCAGCTTTCCTAGGAGAATGCTGGAGACGTTGTCAAAGGCTTTACTAAAGTCCAGGTAGATAGTAGTATCTGATAAGTATATTTACACCTCTGTGTGTCGACATATGTACCCAAACACACAAATTTTGAAGGATGACAAATGCTGGAGTGCTTTCTATTAGCACTCCTTTTGCTTTTTGATGCAATTGCAGCAGTCTGGATGAAGAACGCAAGTCTATAACTTCCAGACTTATCCACAGGAGATGATAAAACAGATGCTGTTTATTTAGCAAGACCAGTGTGATTAATACCTGTCATTTTCTGAAGAGTGCCACCGTCCCATAATGACTGGTTCAACGCTGTGTTTCATACCTCTTCTGGCCCCAACAATAGAGCAGCCTTTATGGTGGTGCTGGGACAGCAGCAGTCAGAGGTGGCTCCAAGTGACCAGTGACATCTGCTGAATGGACCTCTGGGATGCTTCCCACACTACTGCCCTCCTGCCTGCTGGTTGTCTGCCATCTACATACCTAAGTTTAGCTTCTGAGGGTGGGTGGTAGTGTCTGCAAGGTATTTTTTATTACATAAAGTAGAGCCAAAACCAGCTGCCAGCTGCTGCTTGGCCTAGATTCCTCCTTATCCTGGATAGGGGATTTCAATATCCTTTTAACAGGCACACACATTTATACTAATCCAGAAAACCTGGATATATTTACCTGCTGGGTGGGAATAGTTTTCTCATGAGTGTTTTAGGTATTTCCTTGAAACTCTTCTTATTGGTGAGAAATGCTGTATGCTTTCCTTTCAGACATCAAGGCTATGCTAAACACCAGTAAAATAACTCCTGTAGGTCTGGGGGAAGCTGAGTTGCATTGAAGTTATTAGAAATGTGTTTCCAAATTTTAAATTTTAAGATATATGTGCTTTTTTGTCTTCTCTGAAGACATGGGTTTAAGAAAACAGAAGTTACTGCCACTAGTTCCGACTCACATTTTCTTGATTTTAATTTTTATTATGCGTGGAAAATACCTGTCAGAAAACCTCCAGCTGCTGTCAATGTAAGACCTGATTCTGCTTCTTCTTGAGAGGATTTTCAACTTGGTGTTTGCCTTGGCTAGATGGACTAAAAATGGGGGAGATCCATACTGGAGGGAGAAATGTTTTACTACACAGTACTGTGCAGAGCACTTCAAAATGTGTGTTCCTCAGTAGACTTATCTTGATGCACATTCGTAGCAAAGCATGCCGAAGATGAGAAAAAACCCACAACCCTTTGCAGATAAAAGATACAGCTCAGAGTGACACATGTAAATGGGTTGAGAAAGTTTAACAGAACCAGGCAGGCTAAAGTTTATGAAGACAGTTTATTGGAAAGCTGAGGTGTCTGGAAAAGACAAATTTATGTACATAATAGCTGTTCTTTAGAACTAGCATGTATATATCACATTGGATCTGGAACACGTTTCCCTCTCCGTATAAAAAACATCAGGAGAGACTTCATGGGGAAAAAATGATATCTCTCTACCTGAGTTTATTGCCATTCAGAGGATAAAGCTCACCAGACAGTGTGTGGGTGGAATCTCAAGATCTCAGCTTATTTAGTTTAAGTCAAGGTCTCATAGCTTTTCCAGCTTCTTACTTTAGGGGAACCTCATAACAGAGTAGCTAAGAGGATAAATGCACAAACCTCAGTGTTTGTGAGGTGCTCTCATATTTGTTACTGCAAGCTTAATAACTACCTTTTTTAGAAGGACAGTCCCGAACTCTTCTAGATTGAAGTTACTGGCAGCATTTCTGTCTGCTAGCAGTTTTTCTGCAACCTACAGAATAGTACAGCTCCCCTAAAGATAGGCAGTTGGCTTCTGCAAGAGCACCTGGTGCTAGGCTAAGCCAAATGCCCTGAGGACTCCTTATACAGCAAGAGTAGGAAGTTTTTTTTGTTTATGTTTAGGTAAGAGCATGTACTCTAATCAGAGCCTATGAAGATTAATGACAGAGGCCTTATGGCTTGCTGCATCTTCTATTTTCCTTGGAGAATTCTGAGAGTAGTTGGATGGCAGGATACTGCTCAGCCCTCGTTCATTTTGTCCATCTTTCCTTTGAAGTGTCTGAGGTGAGGTGCCTATTGTCTCTGCCTGCCGTGATGGCAGGAGAAGCTGGGGCTCAACTGAAAGAAGCCTGGGATATCCTGAGTGTTTATTGAGACAGAGCAGCAGCCAGACAAGGCATCAAGTGTTGGAGCCTACTTACGTTGCAGGTAAAGGCGTCCTGGTACAACTACCTTGAACAAACCCTCTGAAGCATACAGCATCTTGGTATTTCTTTCCAGGAGTACCAGCTGTTTTGCTATAGAGACTGCAAGGAAGGTGGTCCAGTCAGTGTGAACTTGGTCCTAGTTGTTATCTCAAGGTTGTGGATATGCTGGTTTAGATATGCTCTGTGTGTCTGTGCAGAAGTGAAGCGAGAATTCAGAGAAGGCAAGGACACGGAAATCCTGATGGTGTTGGGGATCACTGACAAAGTCCCAGTGTGGTCAAAATGTTGCCTGTTTTGTCTTTACACCATTTATACCTCTATAATTTGGGCTAAATCCATCAGACAGGAGAGTTATAAAATTGATGGGACAGCGGAATTGAGCTCAAATGTGTGGTAACTATACCACAGGAGGAACAACACTCTGGAATTAATTAAACTTACTGACTTGAATGACATTTTATAATGTATCCTTCTAATTACTCTGTATGCAGCATATTGTGAATTTTTAACATCTAGAACTTGAGTCTAAAATACCAAAAAATATATAGAGAAAATGTTTGAGTGGTATTTTTCATTTCTGACATATGTAACCTCTGTGACTAATGGTTGTATTATATTTTTCAGGCTTTTTTGAAAGTAAGAAAAATGCTTAACTTTTAAAACACTAAATTTTTTAATACATTAATGATGCAGGTGGGCAGCTGACATACACCCTATATGTCTTCATGCTTCTTTTTGAATAGCATAAATGTATATGAATCCAATCTATGTCTAATAAATGAATTATATAAATACTAAATTGCATGTCAAAACCCTTTCTTTTTGGTGCAATAAGTATCCTTTCACTATTACCAGAAGGAGTAGGTGTTATTAACTCCCAACAATGCCAGTATTTTCCAAGATTATATATCTAACAAAGGACAAGAAAAGGTTACTGGATGAGTCTAAATTTACATTTCAGCTGCAGTAAATGCTCTTAATAGTGTGATTTTTCTTTATGCTATGCTCTGAAGCTTGACTCTGGTTTGCAGAGTTTGAATCTCAGCTCTGTGTAACCATTGCAGTAGAGGTTGAACATGAAGAAATGGTAATATGGTATTTGAAATAAAGTGGCTTTGCTAACAGACCAGTGAACATCATCTATTTATACAGGAATAGTGGTTAAACCTCTGCTGAGTTTACTCCATAGCTTGATGAAGTAGTTTCTCGCTTGGGAAGGCAATGTGCCCATCTAATCTTTAGGCTGGTCAGCCAGGAGAAGATGGAACTTTCCGTAGTTTAGAGTAGTGCTTTGTACCTTGCCTCTGTGATCCAGTGACACAGTGTTAAGTGGTATTAGAACCTAGATTCAATAAGGTGGAAAATAGGGTGGCGTATAAATAAGTGAGGCAATTGCCTTGTACAGTATGAAATACAGAAAATATTTCTTGTAATCAAACCATGGCTTGGCATGACCTTGCTCTGACACCGTGACTCAATGACACAATCTTATCCTCAGGAGAAGTGGATTTTAAAGCCTGTTATTAATTTCCTATGGGCCAAACAAACAACTGGAGAAGAAATGGAGTTATTTGTGGTTGTTTATTTCTCTTCCTGACATTTCTCTGCCTCTTGATTCTTCCTAGTGCCTGGAGCCCTGCAAAGAGTCCTGGGACCTGAAGAAAAACCATTGCCAAAGCTTCTGTGAGGTATGTCAGCCCAAGGGCACTCTTTCTCACTTTGTTCTAGCTGTCTCTTTCATTTAAATTATTAGCTTCAAGGAGACAGCTAACAAACATGGGATTTTTACAGCATTCGCCTTCATTTGAATGGATGCACATACAACACTTTAGCCATCTTAAGTTTGAGTTTAAAAATTATATTTTTTCTGACCAAATGAGTTATCTCAACTTGAAGTTTTAAGACTTGATCCAGCTACACTTACACAGCTTCTCTCAGAAGGTGCTGTTAAATCCCTCCTTTAGGATGCTCTTTATACCACATGCCCTTCTATCTTTTCTGGGCATGTGTAAGAAAGAATATCTCTATTTAAAAGATAAAATGTCATTGTATGAAAATCCTTGTGCAGGGTAGCTAGCTATGTGAAAGTCAACTTGATTTCTAAAAGAATCTCTCTCCAGGAATAGCTGGATTGTGGCCTCCTAGTTCAGAAGACCACTGTCAAAATACATAATTATTCAGGAACAAGTCTTTGGAAAACTGTTTCTGAATCATGTTTCACAATGACCTTGTGAATAAGCAAACCTAGATCTGTTAAATTAGTACAAAAAGGGAGATGGTTTTATTGGATTAATTTTTATTGATTGAAACATGGCTCTGCTGAGTTGGTGGAAGTCAGCTGTTAAGAGTTCTTAAGTGTTTTTTAGTGCAAAATGGAAATACCAGCTCAGTAGAAAGTTGCTTTATTGTAACTAAATCAATATAAAGATAGAACTTTATTCAAGTCTATTAAAGTGTGTGTTTATGAAGATTTTCAGCTTTTTCTTATAAAAAAAATAGAATTGACCTTGATTGATATATTGATCTCACTGATTTACTGATTTAACTCCTCTCTCATTACTGTGGGCACTCTTTTTCTGGTACAAGATCATGTTTTATGTTTAAATGATTTTAAATATCATGATGATGATATAGAAAAGCTGTAATTTCAATTAAGAAAAAATAAATTTGATCCAGCTATGTGTAAATAGAGATTACTGGATTACCGATCTATGTAGTTACATTAGAAAACAAAGTAAAAATTTCTCTTGAAAACCAGTCCTTGTAAGAGTTCTTTAACCCAGATTAATTGCTGTTTCCTCATATGCAAAACTCTAGGGTAGTGTAATAAAGCAGTTTAAGTGGATCTAATTTAGGTCATTCTCATATATCACTTCTCTCTCAGGCTGTATGTTTCCAGATATGGGTTAAAATACGTATAAAATTGGTTTAAAAGGAAAACATTTGTAGAACACTGTTCTATTGTAGTTAAAAAACACTGAGCATCCTTCTTTGATTAGTGTTTTGTGGTTGAAGCTAAATTTAGAACTTCAAAGGCCTGTAATGAAGAGCAGCACATTTAGCAGCTAACTGAAAAATGAGCTGTGAAATAGGGTGAGGAAGAGAAGCCTTGAGGACGTATTATGCCTCAGGGAGCTATAAAGTTTTTAATTAAGTAGCTGCAAATTTGTGATGTTTTAGGATTTGAAATTAGCTTCATACACACCCCCGCTCCCCCCCCACCCCGCCCCCAAAGCATGGGACCACTTTCCTTTCTCTCAGACTTATGTGTGCTGCATAGACATTGTTTGATTGAATTAAATGAGGCTGTTTTCCTTTGAGAGTGTTTTCAATCTTTTCATATTTTGTAAAAAAATCTGAAAGCAACAATTTAGCTTTTTGTTTCTCAAGGTCCCTGTTTGGTATGTTACTTCTTACCTACTGAATGAATGTGCTAATGGTAAAGGAACCTCATGTATGAAGAAGAAAAGGAGACAGTTTACCTGACTCCTTTTTTTTCCCCATAAATTCGGTTTCCTGCTGGTTTAGCTTCTTAACTGCCTAACCATGGGATCAGGTGCATTCCAATGGGGGGAACAGCAGGAGTGCATGTCCAGGGATCACTGGGGTCAGTGTTCATTTCAGCAGCCTTTAAGGCTGCTTAAGCTCCAATACCCAATGCATCCTTAAAAGCCTGATTCACAAACTCTGGACTGTTCTGTAGGACAAGATGGGAGAGGTAACGTAATGGTGCATTCTTGGACCACGGTGACCTTGGAGAATAAACTGACACATAGTCTCTGAAACAGCTGGGCCTCCATGATAGTGAAGTCTCTCATTTTGCCAGAAGTATGAGAACAGTAAAAATAAGAAAGACAGACATTTGAATATGGAAGGAAGTTGCAGAAGTTACATGAATAGTTGGATGGAGAGTGGGTTAAAATTCCTGTGTAGGCTTAGGAATCTGTAAATCAGATCTGTCACTGTGGAAGGTTTTAGTTGCTGTGAGATAGAAAGGCAGGCTATAGATAACCCGTTACATGGGTTGCCCATCTACAGTTCCACTGATCACTTTGAGGGAATCGCTTTAGCTGTTTTTGCACCACACTAAATAAAGGATCAGATAAAACAGGAGATGAAATCCCCATGTCACACAGAGCGTTCTCCCCAGGGTGCTAGATGTGCTTTTTAATACAGTTTTAAGTGAACCTTGCAAACTTTTGAGTAGGACACATGCTATAAATCATCTATGTGTTGAAGCAACCTCTTCTATATCTAGGACTTGATTTCTTAAAGAAATAGCATTTACTTTGATCTTTAATCAATATATTTGAGGCTTATTTTAATCTGTCTTTTCTGCTGATCATTTTATCAGAAATTTAGTTCCAGTTCCATGAAGAGTTATACAATTACTAATATGCTGGCAGGAACATAAAGATACTGCAAAATCTTCCCTTAGCCAACTCAGTTCAAACAGTATAATGAAACAAGATTTCACTTATTTATCTAGAGTGGCGTTACATCAGATATTTTGGGTAAAGTGTTATGAAGTGCAAAGGGAGGAATGTGGTGTAGTCCAAAAAAAAGACTGTCTGACCATTGCTTCCCCTTTGTTTTGGGAATGTTTTTAATCTGTCATTGAGCAACTTTGTAGCCAGACAGTGTGTGGAAAACTAGGGAAAGCTGGCAGATATAAAAAACTTTATTCCATTAAAGATGGTGGTCTTACTTGAGGGAATTCATCATTCTGTACTTGGAATGCTTTTTTAGAAGTGGCTTGAATACATAAATCTTCAGGGATAGTCTTGCAAAAGCTGAAAATCTGAATTTTGCTTTAGGAGGTCTTGGAAAATGTACAACTTTTTTTTTTTTTTTTCTCCTGTTCCTGTTGAAAACTTTATGCAATTCTTTTGTTTTCACTTTAGCCTCTTTTCCCCAAGAAGAATTATGAATGCCTAACTAGTTGTGAATTCCTTAAGTACATCCTGTCTGTGAAGCAAGGGGACTGCCCAGCACCTGAGAAGGCCAGTGGTTTTGCAGCTGCCTGTGTTGAAAGCTGTGAAGCTGATAGTGAATGTTCTGGAGTGAAGAAATGCTGTTCCAATGGATGTGGTCATACGTGCCAAGTTCCAAAAAATCTGTACAAAGGTAGAGATTATTAATATATACTCAACTGGTTAATAACTTCAGGTCATGATAAAGTCTCCTAGCGAACTAGGACTTTCATTGCATATGAGTTTGTATGGATGAGAAGAAAAAGGAGAGGCATCTGTGGAAAGCCAGAGAAAAATGTTGCTCAAGTTTCTGAATTTTTTTTCCCCTTGTGAAGCCCATGTCTGGAAATCTGTGGAATGTAAACATGTGGCTATTATGAATCATCTTAAGCAGAACAAACTTGCCAATTTAGGTGAAATCTCACTTAATTTGATGCAGATGAGAGAGAATGCAGCAGGAAAATATTTAATGGTAAATAGTTCAAGTCCTATTAATCACAAATAACATTTAGGTTTATAAGACGAGCAGTAGGATTACCAAATAGGAAGTATGAGATAATCTGGTAAAAGAACAAATCAATGCAGTATATTTGGCATTGGCATTCTTCATGACCTAAGAACAAAATAGTGAAAGATTATAGTATCCACATACATATGTATTAATTCATTATTTAAATGTAAGACAATCTTATTAAAAAGATTTTAATTGACTTGAGTCCTGAGATTCAGTGAAAAAAAGTTCGCCTTGACATCCATTGGCGAGAACATATACACTAAAAATTATTTGCTTAGACAAACTCCAGATTTTAATTTGTTGGAATTAAAAAAAAAAAAAAAATCTATGGAAATACTCTGAAAATGTGCTCCTAATGCAGAACAATGAGCATTTATAAAAGGGATTTTCTTGTTCCACAGAGTTGGAATGTTTTGTTAGAAATCCATTCTCCTTACTTCAGTGATAAAAAATAAATATTAATGAGATGTTCTTCTGATAGCATGGTCTCTCTCTGGAGACCCTAATCAGCAGAACTCTGAACTAAGCTCCAGGCTTAGGTCCGAATCTAGACTTATTTCCATCTATGGATGGAAAAATGGTAAACTGTTGAAGGAGATGGTGATTTTATTTTTATGTTCATTGCTTTCACTGAAATGTTAGTTCATCTTTTTGAATGTTCCTAGTGATGAGAACGTATGTCAGAAATAATGTGCTTTGACTTTTGAATCCTGTCTTTTGAGTGTGCAGAATGGGCCATCAGGAAGCACTATCTTACACAAATGGTTAAGATTTGATCTAGGAGTCATACAGGTTGAGTAAGCATAAAACTGATGAAAATAGTACAAGTATTTTGAACAGCATGCAATACTGTGATCCAGATTTCCAGTGCAGAAGGGAAATTCTCTTGCTTCCAAAATACTTCAGAGCGACCCCTTTAAAACTCTAAGGAATTAATACACTCTTATACACAACACCTTTTAAAATTAAAATTATTAAAATGCATCACTTAGTTATTTCTTTTGTTTTCTTGAGGCAAATGACCAGAGTGATAAACTGGCATTTGTATTGTATATGTAATGATGTACACGATCAGGCTCCATACCACAACTACAAAGTGCTCCAGTAAATGTGACAGCTGGAAAAGGTAAAGTGAACAAGCAAACAGATGAACACGTGAAACAAGGTGACATGCTTTGGGAGAGGACACAGGATACGACAGGCTATGATTCCTTGTACAAGTGCACACTAGGAAGTCTACTACTGTTTAGCCTAATTGTATAGGAGCAGTACTAACGTTCTCTTAACATCTTATCACCTATCTGCAGGAGGTGCTTGCTTGTAAGAGCATATATGTCTTGCAGAGGAAGGGCAAGCCCAATACCGTACTTCCTTCTCAGCTGATGAATTCAGCTAATTAGCCTCTTCAACCTGTCTTTCTGCAACAAAGGACAAATAGAAACAGAGCAGGCTTGCTATTCTTTTTCTCCAGGGGTGAATGACCTTCCTGTCACTAAGGAAGAGCAAACTCTGCAAGCATGACTGAGATCTAGTGAATATGTTTAGTACTTATCATTTTGACAGCACTCACAGCTAGAGAATGAACTCAGATTGAATCTAAGAGTGTAGAGAAGTTCCTATAATTTTACTGTTGATCAAGCTCTGGTGATTAGTTACAACAGCAGATACAAATACCCATCTGATTTGCTGTATTTAGAAACTGGATTTGCCCTCTAGTACTAAGTGCTAAAGCCCAATTGTGAAAGAATATTAATGTAAGTACACTGCCACTAAAGTCATATATTGCAAATGTTGAATTAACATAACAAGTCCAGTTACTTGTTATCCAAACTGTTGGCTTGTATTTGCTATAATCTACAAACTATCCATTATCATTGTATTTTTTCATCTCTGTTGGGAGTATTACTAATCAGTTATTTAGTCTTCACATTTCTATTTCCCTATACTGAAGATATCAAACGTTCTCTGCTACTTTTCTGTCATCTGCCTCATCCACCTCCTTTATGTTATCTCAACTAGTGAAGGACTTCAGAAAGTGTCCCTTCTCTATGGCCTACCTATTTTTTTTCTCTATAGGGACATAATGATGTTATAAATAACAGTAAGTGCCTAAAGTAATTTTGGTACTTTGGAGATAGAAATGGGGGCAATATCTCTGCTTAGAAATAAAACAGTTTAAAAATACAGAAGAAAAAGGAAAGAAGAGAAATGGATGGAAAATGCATGATCAAGTCCACTTTTTCTAACATGCACGTATGCATCCCCAAGTAAGAACAAGGACAAGTATCTTTTTCTACACTCACCTGATGACAGCTGAAAAAATTACCCATCACCTTTTTCCTGTTCAGAAGTTAGTGGTTTCTCAGATGTGATGATACACCTACTTGTGTGAACTTTCCAAGACTGATTTTTAACAAAGTTTTAGGGTTCATGCTGTATAAACCAACCTTCCTGGTTTTGTCTGAAACGTGTGAGGGAGCAATCCATACAGCAGACCAAACTGCAGATCTGAGCAACTAAATTGTGAAAAGAAGGGTTATGACATTTAAAGGGTATCATGGTATGACAATATTACGATAGAATAGCTGGAGCCAGATGGTCACCCACAGTTTAAGGGCTCTTTTCATGGGTAAAGAAAAACAGTTTTGTATTAGAAAAAACAGTGTACAGTTTTACAAATGTGTCATTCTGTGTCTTTGAACAACTGTATTTACAATTGTACTGATGCCCTGAATGTACCCTTTACTGTCTGACACCCTTCTGTGGAAACTTTTTGAATTCCTGGGGAATCGACATTTAAGGTACAGATCCTTATGAGGGACCAGCATGCATTTATTTTTCATGGAACAGAGATGCATCTGCTGTTTGAAAAACACCTTTAGAAACATTTTTCCTGGGCTCTGGTATAGCACACATACAGCAATCAGTGATTTGAACTCTTCAGTTAAGCACTGCAGACTTCAGAAGACTAATTTGTTCCAGCACGATGAAAGGGCTGACCATTTACATAATAAAAAGCACATTGAAGAGTAATTGGATCTACACATCTGGATATTAACTTGATGGTGCTGGTTCTACAAAAGTATTTTAAAATGCACTTGTGCTGTGCTCTTGTTTGTGCTGCTGTGCTCCATCTGCATGCAATTACATAACACCGGAGAGGCTGAGATACTTGCAATCAAGTGAATCCAACTGCCCCTAATGCAAAGCAGATGGAAGTTTTCTTAACATGCAAATTGTAGGATTATTATACATCATAATTAAAGAAGGATTTTCAAATGTGGAAATCCAAACTGACATGTTCTGTGATGTTCGTTATATTAGACTAAGACTGCAGGCTGTTGAAGGATATGCAGGGTTTAAAGTGCTGTGATAAACAGATTTAACTACTGGATTTTTCTCGGGTTGATTTTAGATTTCTTCAAGGGCTACAAGATCAATTTTGATTTACTTGTAGTTAATTGTATGATCAGGTTTGGGAGAAGACCTCTTAAAATATAAAAGCCATTTGTTCACCTAAGGGAATTTTGGTACTCAGTCATCTGTGGCAGACCGAGTGGGAAACAATTTTTTGAACCAACACGTACAGCTGGACTTACATGGACACCCACTGAAATGACAAAATAACTAAAGTGCATACGATAACTTGCCAAGAAGGTTTATGCATGAGCAAAGAAATCTTATTTGTGACATACATTGAAGTGACAAAGTGCTGTGCACTCAAATATATGAGTTCCTAAAGTCTGTCTAGAGGAACGTATGTAACACTTGATTTGTTGATTTAATCAAAAGATGCCAAATCTGAAGAGTTGTTTTTTTTTTCTTTCAAGCTACTGCAGATGTTTTCAAAAAGGTGATGTTACTAGCAGTAGGAAAAACAGAAGTAACTGTCCTACAGTGTTACTGTGTAATGAGAAATTACTGTAAAATTTTAGAAAGACACCTTTATCTCTGAAACGTTAACAATTGGAAAAGTTACATTAGATATCACATATCTATTCCAAGATGCCATTACCTTTCCTAGATCTTTAGGGAAGACTGGCGAGTGACGCATCATACAATACGGCTGTATGTGAGTCAATAAGATGATGCTGCCATGCAGAGGGCAAACAGCTATTTTTAAGTATATCAGCATAAAGTAAGATGTGTGAAATAATCCTGCTTCTCTAGTCTACACTGTTAAGAGCTTAGACACAGTTTGTGTCCAGTTTTAGGCTTGATTCTGGAGAATGGTTGTGGGCCAATAGGATAGTTTCCAGACCCAACTGCAAGAATGATCAGAGGCCTAGAAACATTTAAAAGGAAAATGGAGCGCATTGTGGTTATTACACTGAAGAAGAAAACATTCAGAGGCACGATAACAATCTTGCAGTACGTGAAGTTCTCCTTCATAGATGAAAGAAAGAATCTGGTCTCCACAATCTGTGAACGTCATGAACAAGGATCGAGTTTAAGATGCAGCAGATGAGGCTAAACAAGGTAGTGAGAAAGCTTTCTAATGGTAAGAATAGAGAAGTAATGGAACAAATTACTATGTGACGCTGTGTAAATTCTGTCATTAGATGTATTTAAAGAAAAATTAGGTGAAAAACTGAACAACAGGTGTAGCTGATGCTACTTGGGATCAAAGGGATCTTTAGTTTTTAAATGAAAGAAATAATTTTGAAGATTTTTTACAAACAAGTTTTACTGTTAGCAGAAATATGTCAGCTACGGGCACTTCTGAAACTCCCACATTCATCAGCCTATCCATTCCCCCATTTTTCTTTTAATTAATTTTTATACAGCTTCATCTACATATGGTTTAATTGCATATTTTAAATTACTCATATATTTTTGACTGCACATTCCTATTACAGGTGTTCCACTGAAACCCCGGAAAGAATTAAAATTTGTAGAACTTCAGTCTGGAGACCTGGAGGTGAAGTGGTCTTCAAAATTCAATATTTCCATTGAACCTGTGATCTATGTTGTTCAGAGGAGGTGGAATCAAGGAATCCATCCAAGTGAGGATGATGCTACTAACTGGCAAACTGTGGCACAGGTCAGTTCATTATAAAGCAGTATGGATCCCTAGCTTCCAGACCATGACCTAAACGTCCTCTTCAGATCAGAGAAGAGTTAGATCACTTGCAGGTGGGGAGGATCATGCAGAGGGATCCATTTATAGGGTCTCTCTCCAGGTCACAACAGAGCTGCAAACAGAATCCAGATCTCCAAGGCTTTACTTCACTGCTCAATGAACTGTGCGCTAGATTTACTCAGGAGAAATTAACTTCAGTATTTTTGCTTCTAGTTTGTCAGTTATAGAAACATCAAATGCTTTTGGTATGTATTGAAAATGACTCCATAAAAAAGTGTGAATATACCAGTAAAGAAGTAAGTAATGGTTTCCTTGTCCCCAAAAGAAAAAATACTCAGAGGTTTATGTTTTCAAAATGAGTTTGTTTTGTGGGTTCGCTCTCTGTAGGTAAAAATCTGTAGAATTAGCTGGAGACTTGATTTTCATAAGGCCAGTGAGTGGCACTTTCTTGTAGGCACTTACTTACGATCTATTCAGATGGGAATTCCAAAGTCTCTGAAAGCCACAAATCTCTTGAAATACATAGAATTAGATACCAAAATCCATGGAAGGAAACACATAAGAGACATAGACCTTTTGAGGTCAGTGGGACTCAGTGCACAGTGTCCAATGCATGGCTTAGGTCTTATCAAAAAGATAAGAAGTACAATTGATGAAAAGACTATTTAATTTTTTAAAATAAAGAGTGAAGAGAAGACTAAAACCTGTATTCTTTATAAAGTTGTTTTTTTTCAGATGTGACCCTCCCAATTCGGAAAAGGCTATGATGTCATGGTCTTATCACTCAGTGCAATCCAGACTGAAAATGTAAGATTCATGAGCAAATGTTTCTTAATGAGAAGCAGCCAACAGAGCATAAATTTTCGCTTAGTTCCTTCCCAGTCTCAATCTGTTTTTTAACATGCTGACAGTCCACCTGGATGGCAGAGTTCCAATCATTTATCTTAACTGCTTCACCCTCATCCCTGCTGACAAGAAAAGTAAAATGCTGATTTTGAAAAGACCTGCAAAATGTCATTATAGCTAGGAAAAAAAGGAAAGAAAGAATAAATAGAACCATCCACAAAATAAAGCAAGGGGTTTAAATTCTGTGGCAATCTGTGTTCATTCTCAATTCAAATTGTGTAGGAAAAATGTCAAGCTTGTGAAACTGAGCACTTGGAAGTGAGGTTCTTAGCTTCCATGTGGTGCTACAGGGGGCTGTCACTATGTTAGATTCTTGCTCAGAAAAAGTCACCTGCAGCAGAGCCTGACGTGAAACCCTGCTTGTGCAAGCCCAGGGGAACCTGAACACCTCCAAACCTGGTAAAGTTGCAGTGACTTATTTATTATTTCTCAGCTGAGGTGCAGGTCTTCAATCTGCATTCTCCATATTGAGCAACCAACCTCCTGTCTTTGCTACCAGGAAAACAACATGTAGCAAAAATGAGCCAGGTCTGACATGGTTTAGTGGTGGGCTTGGTAGTGTTAGGATAATGGGTGGACTTGATGATCTTAAAGATATTTTCCAACCGAAATGATTCTATGATTCTATGAATTACTCTTCGCTGTTATTGTGCCATGCATGTGTGCCAGACTACAGAAGCCCAGCTCTTCTGGGTGGTGGATCCAGACTGCAAAGGTAGCACACTGCTGTGCTTTTTCTCATTTTGGAAACAGACCTCATGCACGTTTCTGGAAGCATGCGCTATATGTCCTCCACAGTAGAGGAGCATATACGAACCTCTGCCTTCTTGCAGTGGATGTACAAGAGAGAGCGTTCCAGAAATGTGTTCCTGTGCAAGAGTGATAAGAACCCTGACGGCTGCCTTTCCTGGGGGTCTGTTACACGTGGGCAGAAGGGGCTGAGTTAATCACTGTGGCAGGAGAAGCCTCCTCCAGCTGACATCTTTCTGAGAACTTTGCTGTCCCTTCTGCGTCACAAGAGGTGCATGTTTGATTGTGTGACGGATGCCACTGGGGATGTCAGTTCAGAACAAGCTTCGGGATGCCTGACTGGCTTTGTGAACTGTGTATACCTCATGGGACATACAGGATGGGCAACCTTGAGGGGTGCTAGTAATCAGAATTTCTGTCTTTGTGGGGTAATGTACCTACATGGTGTTTGTAGTTTAGACATCCCACCAGGCAGTCAAAATTGTTAAGGGTGGCTTCCTGCAATAGAATTTATTTTGTAATATCAGCAACAAGGATGGATATCCAGTTTGACTAAAGTGACTGTGTGCACGGCCTACGGGCTTTTCGTGTCTGTATAACGAAGTTTTTTTCTTGTATGATTCCAAAACATTAGCGTATAAGACCTTAGTTATAGGCAAAGACTGCAAAGAGCTCAGCCGTTAGGCTGAGAACTCCTGGGGCACCTCAGTCCAGGGCAGATAATGCTGACTCTTTCATTATTCTCTAACTTAAGCTAGAGAGCATGTAAAAAGCACTCAAAGATCAAAAAGGCTGTGGGTGAGGATATGAATTTCTCTATGCCTATGCCCATATGTAGTGTAATTATGCAAAGTTATTGTTTGCATATTCTTGTAAGAAATGTCATAATATTTTATCAAAGTTCCTTATCCAATATTCTATTTTTTTTTAATCTATCTGAGAAGAAATGGGGCTATAACTTTCCATAACTTTATTTTAAGGTGTTTACTTTTCAAAAAAACTTCCTGTTTTCTGTTGCTGTTACATGAGCTAGTTTGTAAGTAATTTCTCATGTCTCACATAAATTTGTACTTGGTATTGAAAAAGTAATTTTGAAAAAGTTTGTTTCCTTGGTATCGTATTGTGTCATCAGGTCTTTTTTGATGGTTTCTTTTTAAGGAGGAAGGCTCAGTCTATTATGTTATTTATTTAGCTCTGCAAGTATATGAAGAAAACAAACACATAAAAAACAATTTTAGTTATTTTTCACTTCAGGAAGAAGGGAAAGGAAGAACTTCAGTTTTTTACTGCACATTTGTTTGAAAACTTGACATAACTAACCATTTGACTAATTTCCATTGGTTAATATAAAACCTATGGAAACTAAGATACTAGTTAGCCTAGTTAGCTGTGATGTACAGTATCCTAAGTGATAATGCCAAGTTTCTTACAGGTACTGTTTCTTAAGGTTTAACTAGCTGAGCAGGACCTGCTGCACTATCCCATGAGAATACTGCATATCTTGTGAACAAACGTCATTCTGTTTGGGGCTAATGTTTTCTAAAAATAGTAGTATTACTGTTTACATTGGAAACTTAGATATTTAATTATATTAAGCAAATTAATGAAGTTAATTCAAATGTGCCAGGTCAGTTATTTTCAGACAGAACACATCTGTGTTGTGTGAATGGATGTCAGGTATGTCTGCATCTATATACATATATACATACACGCATATATATACGTATGCATATGGGCAGGCAATAATGAAATTTACTTATTAGTTTATTCCTTTATTAAAACAAATAAGGGGCAGTATTTACTGCTAGCTTGATTGTGACAGACCTTAGGGATCTTATCAATATATATAAATATCTAAAGGGCAGGTGTCAAGAGGATGAGGCCAGTCTCTTTTCAGTGGTGCCCAGTGACAGGACAAGGGGCAACAGGCACAAGCTGGAGTGCAGGAAGTTCCACCTCAACGTAAGGAAAAACTTCTTTACTCTGAGGGTGGCAGAGCACTGGAACAGGCTGCCCAGGGGGGTTGTGGAGTCTCCTTCCCTGGAGATACTTAAAACTCTTCTGGACACAACCCTTTGCAACCTGCTGTAGGTGAACCTGCTTTAGCAGGGGGTTGGACTAGACGATCTCCAGAGGTCCCTTCCAACCCCTGCCATTCTGTAGTTAGTGCTTCACTTTGGAATTGTTTAAACTCTGTGGACAACTAGTCTTTTTTAAAATTTAAAGTTTCTGACACACCTAAAGTTGTGGTTCTGAGTATCACAAAAAGTTTCTCAGCCCTTGACAGTTAGAAACCCCTGCTGGAGCTAACCACCAGTCCTGTACACTAAAGGTTTCTTTCTCCATCTCACAGGAGGGGCTTGCTTTGGTAAGTGTTCTTAGAGAGCGCCTACCTTGTGTGGGATTGCATTCACGTGAAATAGGGGAGGTGTGCTGTTCTTTGATAAGAGTAGTGGATGCAGCACTGTCAGGCTGCTGTATCAGAGGAAACATAAATTCAGCTCTTCTGATACCCTGGATAGTATCCCTTCACTCTCTGAACTGAAAATTCTTTTATCACTGTGCTTTGTTTCAAAAGAAGGTGTAGAGCTATGAACTCAGCAGGGTAAGACTGTCCAATCCTGTTTCCATTAAACCTTTGCACTACAGAAAGGAATCCAAGATTGATAGTGTGAAAGAAGAGGAATGAACACAGTGAAACAGTCCATTGATTTCTGTAGTCCTTAGATAGGGGAGAGCCCTCTGTACCAGTCTTTGCTATGAAGACCTTCTTACACAAATTTTTACACATATATATGACAGAAAACACTTCCTTGGAGTGGCGACACAAGAATCCGATTTGAATGGCCTAACTGCTATGCTGCTGGGTCATAGATTCTTTCCTCTCCCTCCCCATGCTAACTAATCCCACCTTTCCCTTACAAGAAGTTGCAACTTTTAGCCTTTCTTTCTCTGAGGAATAGTTTTGCCCATGAATGTAGAACATGTTCTAATTCAAAGTAGTATGCAACATCCAAGATGCTCGGGAATGTTTTCTCCCAACCTCTCAGACAAGGGATGGGATTGGAGATAGGTTGTCTGCTCTCTGGGTGAGTACTTTGATCATAAGTCAGTTGTATGAGTGGCGGGGGGAGATTTCTGCAGGCGTTTTAAAGAGGATAGCAGATAACCCCCCTTTGAAAGACAGGATGAGGGGAATACTTTCAGGAGGGGGCTCAGGGCTTAAACAGCTAAGGTGTGCTGGGAGACGAGTGGAACTGTTGGTGCTTCCTAAATGGAGCAGCTCTGGGCAAATCTCAGCCAAATTCTCACCTGAAAGCCCAATCACTTTCTTCTTTCTGGCCATTGGAGGTGGTCTGTTGTCCCTTGGACCTGAAATGCACTCTTGGGAAGGAGTGTCAAGCTATTATCTGTGTTCTCCAGGTTATGTCATTGTGATTACGTGCTGCTCCTATGTAAAGTTGTATCCTAATGTAATTAATGGGGACATTCACTTGTCTTCAATGAACTTTGGATAGTGCTGAAAGTGGACATGTTGGCCAATGATTTTGTCTGAGGACTCATTTGTTATTTTATTCCAAATGAAACGCTTGTTAGGATTAGAGATTAGCTTCAAATTTTAATTAAATGGGTAATGCATCGCCAAAAAAAAATAATTATGATCCCATAATGATTTGAGGGGTGATCTTTTTGTTTTGTCTCTTATTTATGATTCTTAAAAAAAATACTAGCATTCTAAGAAATCCATAAAATTGTCGTTTAATTCTCTCATATTCAGGCAAAATTTTAGGTGTGTGATAAGATTCAACCATTAGTTATTTAATACCACTCAGCCTATCATTTAGTAGGCTTACATTAATATAAGACAGATATTGAAAGACTCTGAATATTATGATAACAGCTCCAAACATACTTAAGTAGTGAGAACTAACTAAACTAAAGCAATTAAACAAAAAATTCAATTTACCTTTAAGGTAGTTTAAGATATTTCAGTGGTATTTACCTCTTTCTTGAAATTTATTAAATCTATGTAAATGTTGGTTGAAGGTGCCAAAGTAGTTTATAATCTATAATGCAGGAGTTACAGATACACCTCCTGCATGCCATTGAGTTTAACAGGAGCTTTGCCAACAAAATGAATGATGAAAGTAATAGGCCCAAGGCATGTTCATAAATTAAAATAATTTTAATTAAACGGATTGACAGATTATTTGATTTTACAGTATTTCATGGTTGCCACGGAAGACTGACAGAACTGAAATCCTTTCTTTTAATCAGTCCTAGCAGAATAGCTGATCTGATGCAAATGACGAAGATTCCTTAGCTGAGGAATTTGGGATCAAGTTTATTCAGATTATGCTTGCCTTGAAATTAAATTTAGCAAATCTGTTTTTAAAAACCCACAGTGTTATAACTAGTTAATTACAATTAGACATTGGTCCTGACCCTGATTTCAGTTGCAGCAGTCGCCTAAATATATCCTTGTTTGTTTTTTTTTTTTTCTCTTAATATAGTGATAGTTTATATTACTCCAGTTCACTGTCGTGTCTTATCTGTAAATTTTTGATTATGTTTGACTGCATGCTGGAAAAAACTAGCACATCTGAGTGCTTAAAAAAATTAAAATAATTTTAAAAGTTGGTTCAGGTAGGTTTTTTCTTCACCAAGGAAACGTCTCCATTGGATGAGGTAATTCACTCTACAGGTAATGTTAAAAAAGGAAAGAAGATGAAACAGAAAGCATTGGGACTGTTACCCCTGCTTAAGCTAAAAGGACAAATACAGCCATCTGAATGGAAAAGGACTCTGAGTAGCAGTAATATGTGAGGGGCTCAAAGTCTACAACACTTACCAGTCTGAGAGCAGTTAATAGTGCAGTTTAGAAAGGCTTTCTTTCCTTTACATGCTCACACAAATGAGGTCTCTGTTTCCCTAAATTTTACTTATCACCAGATGAAGAGATTAAGTACAGGATAACACCTACAAATTGTATTTGTCAGGGCTCTAAAAATACCATTGCTGGGGAGCTGAAGCAACTTCCTCAGGTTCTGACTATCTGAGTTAGGTTGGCAGCTGCTATTTTCTTACACAGTTTGGAAAAGGAGCAAAAAGCAGAAGTTTTTTGGGAACTATTTGGCATCGTTGCAAGTAGCATTGAATCCTGTACAGGGAAGGAGGGTTTTTGAAGTTACAGAAAACAGAGCTTGTGAAAATAAATTGATGTCACTAGATTTTTAATGAGCTTGCATGTTTAGTCAGTAATGATAATTAGTAATGATTGTCTAGTTTGTATTGTAAATATTGATATATTTAGACATATACAGGGCATTTGGTTCAGGTTCGTTGCTATTTTGATTAAAGAATTAAATTAAAATGCAATAAACATGACAACCTAAAATAAATTGAAAACTGTCTAACTGAGATGTAATTGCAAAAGTGAAATCTGCAACAAGTGGATTAGTTTTTGATGAGTTCTGCAAAAATGCCTTCTGTATTTGACAGTGACTCAGCAGTTAACCAGGAGGCTGTGTTCAGTTTTGGTGTTTGTACCTTTAGGAAAAATAAGAAACAGTTCAAAAGAAACCTCTTTAAAAGTTTAAAGGAGAAAAAGAAGATAGAGGAAAGTAGGGCTTAGAATAAGAGGGTGTAAAGCACCTCCTACTGAAAGGGTTCAGGGTGCATTTATGCTTATGCCATATTTCAGAGGTTAAGGCACTCCCCACAGAAGTTGGAAATTGAACTTGTGACACTAGCAGTCTCAGTGAGTGTTGTTGGAGAAAAGGTCATCTCCTATGACCTGAGGAAAGTCTGCAGGGAAGAGTTAAGGCTGTGAGTGTCTTTTTGGCAGAAGTGCCAAAGATCTGGAGAAGGCTTACATTCATTACCTGGGGGTTTCGTGTTTCCCATGAACCAGAAAAGGTGGCTTCTCACAGCATGGGATTTTGTGAAGCCATTTTGGACCCCTAATTCTCTGAGAATTGAGAATTGGAGAAATCAGTCCTATGACCTGGGGCAATGAGTTCCCTGAAACGTCAGCACCTGAACAGCTAGGCCCTATACACTGGTGAATGTTGTGATAACTGGAAAACTAATTTTGTGAATTTAACACTTCACCAGTTTTCTAAAGGTTACTTTTTCCAGAAGACACCTGCAGTGCAGGTGTGAAATTGGGTGGTTATGTGATTTTGTTCACAGCTGTGAATGCTTTACAGTGCAGAATGATGCTCGGAGTCAGATAGGTGGTTGTATACAGCCTGCTGACACTGGTGCATATTCAGTCTGACTAAACAGCGTTGCATGGGAGACGATGGGACAAGTAGCCATGTCAGAACAATGAGTGTGTGACATTTTCCCCACCAGACTACGGACGAGCGGGTTCGGCTGCCAGATATCCGAGCGAGCAGGTGGTACCAGTTCCGCGTGGCAGCTGTGAACGTACATGGGACGAGAGGCTTCACGGCACCCAGCAAGCACTTCCGATCCTCAAAAGGTTCGTTTTCATTCGCTCTGTCTAGTGCTCAACTTCTGCTCACTCACACATGAAGCTCAACTTGATCTGCCTACTTTTGTGGCAGAAGGTTTTTGTCAGGTGGGTTTTTGGGTAGTTTTGCCACCAGCTTAAGAAAAGGTGTAAGATTTGTTTGAAGTCAGAAAAGGAATTAAAGGTTAAAGATGTCATGATTCTTTTATCAGCAAGGGGCCTCTACGAATAAACCTCCTTTTAAACATTTTCCGCACGGTTGGTATCAAACAGCATGACCCTGACCATGAAACATGAAGCAACTGGGGTTTCAGTGTGTTATTCCCAGAAGTTTCTTTTATTTTTCTTTTTAGTTATGAGAAATAGGTTGTTGCCATATGTTTAGCAGAGTATTGAAATTTTTGTTGCCTGTATCTAAGTAATTGTAGCAGCACTGTTTTGATGGAACTGTGGGCTCCCTTAATATACCTTTCCCTTTGCTTGCACTAGTTGTAAGGGCTTAAGAATAGAAATGGTATAAATGCTAAATAGCGTGTTTCTGTTCATTAGAAAGGCATACCAGACAATCCACAAAGTATTGTAGGAATTTTTGTTGCCATTTCTGGTTTTGCAAGTGTTTGGGTAATAGAATAACTTTGAAAATTATTTCAGTAGCAGTAAATGGTACTTGGGGAATGGGGGAGATAGAAACAGTTCTCTCACCGTGTGGAGTTGCTGGCATTGTCCCTGGTGTGCCTTTGACCCATGCAAAGTAAAATTTTCCCGGATGACTCTCAGGCATAGCATAGGAGTTAGCACAGGCCAGAAACTATTCCCAACAGACAGATGATCTGGATGTGGTCAACCTCTCTCAAAGGCAGTCAATAATGCGGGCATAACCAGGCCATGCTAGTTGACTTGAGTGCGAAAGATTGAGATCTAGCACTCTTCGCTCTACTAATAGAGGTAGTTTCTAATAGAAAGATTTGTCTTTGGTTTAGTAGTGACAGAATCTTGACACTGATATAACGCATACTTTGAGGAATGCATTTCCTCCTTTCTGCAGACAGAATTATCTCGCGATAGGGGTAGTTGCCATCTATGGGTTCCTGTGCTAGCTTTTAGCTTGTTGCTTGTCCACAGTCAATCCTAGAAAAAATCTTATTGTAGATGCGGTTATAGAGGCATGCAAGTGCTTTTGCTGCTACTGATGGTTTAATAACTTACTGAAGAAGTATACATTAGACTTAGTAATTTTTTGGTGCTTTAACCACATTTGTGGTAGGAAGATTGGCTGGCATAGCTATCCCATTAATGCTGTGACCACAAACCTTTTGAAGTATAAAAGAAGTATTATTTTAAGAATTTTCTATACATAAGTAACATACCATTTCAGTCACATAAAAAATACAGTTCCTTCAAGCTGTGCTGAGCTTACTGCAAGGACTCAGCAGCAGCAGTAGCTTTTCCTCATGAGCAACACTTCAGCAGATACAGCACTTTGTTGTTGAATCTGGCGCCAGCTTTCTTTAAAACTGAGATCATTGCCAGTTGTTTTACTGAGTTTGTAAAGATTTTCCAACTATTCTGCTTGGAACCACTATAATTCCAATTACATAAAGGTATATCATGATAACACTGAGGTTTTGGCTTAGGCATGACATTTTCAGGCAGGACTTGTATTACTTTCCAAAAAATGCATCCCCTACTGAGTGTACTAGCCACAGGAGTATGTCGTTCAAAATACCTACACTGGTGATGAATATAAGAACATCCATGGTAAGTCATACTGAAGGTCTCTTTAGCCCAGTATCTGACCCCAGCCAAAAGTGAGTTTTTGGAGAACAGTGTAAAAGCAGGATGAGCACACAGGGATATTTCTCCTCCCAGCTGGCAGTGATTAGTGTTTCAGGAGCTTGTGGTTTTGAAATGATTACATGTTAAATACCAGAGTCCTCTTTTTCTGTGGTCTCTGCAGCTACCTCTGAAGCACTTGCTCTCCTTGAGTGCTGCTCATGGCTGTCTGGTGGAGGTGGGGAGCACTTTTAGGACTTTGTGACAAGGACAGCAGGAGCCAGTAGTACATCTGCATGTTCTTACCTAATAAACTGAAGTAAGGGGATCTCGATAATAGCAGAAAGTACGTAGCCAACATTGTTCAAAAGGCTTCTGTAACCCTCAGAATAACATTTTTCAAATCTAAACTCCATCCCTTGGCAGAGAATCATGAATTGCCAGACAAACAGCAAGGAGTTCAGTTAGCTATCAGCTTTGTAGCCAAAATCGTCCTACTCTGGCAGCTCATTTGACTATTTTAGAGGCTTTGGTATTATTAGTGGTCATTATAAAGATACCATGTTCGCGAGATGGAACATGTAGAAGTGCTAGGTGGTGACTGTTGGAAATGATGCTGGGATGCTTCAATAGGTATCTCAGTCCGAGAGTCCCCGGGTAGGCGCTCAGAGTGTTAACAGTTATACTGTCATATAGACATTTATTTACTACTTTGGAGCTTAGTGGGAAGCAGCGGCCTCTGCCTGGCAGAGAGGCAAGAAACTGCTGCTCAGATGTGCCTAGTTTTCTGAGTGCCAGCATCTACTGGCCCCTGCTGAGCTCTACAGGCACATTTAACCTCCAGTTTGGAAAAGAAAAGCGGACTTTGGCACATCACCTTTGGAAGGTTGCTGACTGTCTGTGCTACATTTCTGTGAAGTGTGGACAGAAATTCACATTCATTCTCGTACGGTTTCAATTCACCCTGTTGTGCCAAGACCAAGAAAAGATTATTATCTTCATCAGGCTTATCCGTAGTTTTCTTCAAAAAGAAACCCTTTGATCAGGAAACATAACAGCAATTCCTAAGAGTTTCTCACACAAGATGCTGAACTTCTACCAATTGCTCATAAGTTATAATGAATAGCAAATTATTTTTCCTTTAAAGGAGGACAAACATGATATATAATCTGAATCTAGGGAGGAGTATGGCACCACAAAGTCTCTGTCACTAAATATTTTAAGCTGTTAAAAAGAACATTCAAAAACATTGGTGCTGTAATTACTTGGAGAGAGGCTTTTTGTCTGGTTACCACAATACTGTTTTATCCTATTTCGTGGTTTTTTGCAAATGCAAAAAAAAGTGATCTCTAAGCCAACACGGCAAAGTAAGCTTTTGTTTTATTCAAAATAATGTTAAGTCTTCTGAGGTATGTAATTTCCATTAACTTCTATCACTAAATTAAGCTCCTGATTATCCAAATTAGTTTAATTTCCCAGTCATGAAAAAGACAAAAACAGGAAAACAAGAGTATTTCATCAAGCATTTCAGATTACCATTCTTGATCTAGTTGTGTTTTGAGATTTTATCTACTGCAGCTTTTGATGCTCTTACACTATAAACATTTGATGTGAAGGTTTGTTAGCTGTTTTGCACTGCCTTATGTGTTCATTTATGGCATTAATCTGTCAATAACAAATAATCAGTGACACAGCTGAGGTGTTTTATTAAATATTCAGAGCTTATGCAGAGAGAAATTTTTTTATGCTGTGTATTTCTGTTTTATAAAGGAAATGAAGGATTTGCATGTGCTTGTCTGGCATGGCCCTTCACAGGGAATAAAGTGGTGCTTCATTTTGCCAAAATGAGATTCCAAAATTACAAGAAACACATATTAGACTATACCTGTCTGTTTGCAGCAGTGTGGTGAGAAGATTAAGTGAATACTGCACCTAGGAGAGTGGGTTCTTTCCTAGAAGTAGAACTCTGCACAGGATTTTCAGATTGATACTGTCAGCTAAAATTGATCAAAACTCTCTGTTTGACGGTGGTTTCCACTTTGCTTTTCAGGGTTTTTAAATCGTGTGTGCTTTCCTTTTCATCTGCAACTGAGTGGCAACAATTTGCAGTAACAGCAATAAATAAAGCTAATAAATGCCTGGCACAACATTTTTGATTCCCAAAGGTGCAAACATATTTCTCTTTGTATTTTCACTGTCTCTCTCCAAGCTACTTCATTTTCTCTGGAAGCAGGAGAGGACTGTTCCTGAAACCCATATATGAATCTCCTTGAATGAAAAGCTGCCTGTGCTTTTCTCCCATTAAGCGGGCACCGGGTAGCCTAACCCAACTGATCAGAAGCTGCTTGGCACTAGTAATAAAATTTTATTTGTTGCATTTGGGTAAGAGTTTTTAGGCTGTTTTTTCCTAGCTTTTATATGATTTATGATGAGAATGAACTCTTAGTAACAGAGACTGCAGTTAACTAGAGGGATCAGTGTTAGGCATTTCCAGATACTATATTGTCTTGCTGGTCTGTAGTTAGGTACTGTGCCATTTTCTGAGACAAAAAGAGGCTATAAGACTAACACAGTGAGCCCAAACCATCTGATCCTTCTACCTCTGCTAAGAGTTTTTATCTTCAACATGAAGGCAGTTGCTAGCATACACAGGATAAATTGTCAAGCAAAAGGAAGCAGACAACATTGTTTTCACAGCACATAAGTACCATGCTGGATGTGATTTCATGCATACATTACTGAGTGTTAGTAAAACCAGAACAGACACCCACTCCCGGCAATAAAATTCTTTCTGTTGCTCCTTTGAGACCAATGATTTTTTTATACTGTTACACAGCTGGTTTATGTGTGCCATTTCCATTGGGCAAAGCCAGTCCCCCTGCTTATTCCTTGGAATTGTTTAATGGTTGGAAACTTGTCTGTAGAGCAGCTTCAGCAGATTTTTAGAGTTGGAAGGTCTAATGTTTAAAAGATAGCAATGGGAGATCCATTTTAAGTCACAAAAAAAAGCTCTGTAAAAAAAGATTTAAATTAGAGTCAAACTTGCTATTACTTTTACAGCTCAGAATAAGAATTCTGGTTCCACTGTCATTGTCTTCTCTGACATATATTCAAGTCATTTACTGTTTTCATTATTCTTGCCACATTTAAAGCCAAAGTGGATGCATTGCAGCAGAGTATGATGTGATTCTCACGTATAGCTTGCCCATACTGTTTTATTAAGGTTGCAAAGGTCTTCCAGATTCTATTGATTGAAAGAATTTTATAAAATATAGATCGTCTATCACTATGTTTACAAATAGGAGTGTGGGAAGACGTGGATTTTTAAATGGTGATGATGTGAGGATTTTCTTTTTTTCTTTTATTTGCAGCAAGGAATCCTCCCTTTTGGGGACTGGAGACAGAGTTTTGCTTGTGATGGCTAAGTAGCCCGCAAGACAAGAATTTAAGTCCTTTGGGTATACTCAAGCCAGATACAATCCAGACAAATGCAGCACTTACTCCATGTGCTGGAACAGCAGCTTCAGCCTTGACCTAATGAAGCTATCATTTCTAGCAGCGAGAAGTGATTTACTTGTCAGGCTGCTGAGACCAGAATTTTTTTGGATTTGAGGACAGCTGCCTGTGCCAAATTCTGGTATACATATAGTGACTTTTATTTTATTTGAGTTGTAGAATAAACTGCAAAGGAAAAGCTGCAACTAGCATCACTCTTTCTGCAAACCAATGAATTTGATTTAACACTTAGATGAATTCGTGTATATAAAATTTCAGAACTTTACATTTGAAAAACTGGCAGTAGTTTCCAGTCCAGTAATTTAATGTTCATGTATCTGCATTATACATGTGGGCAGTCAGTCAAAGGGATCACAGATATATGAAGACCAACAGTAGAATGTGTGTTAGCTTTATAGTCAGCAGAATGCCAGTTTAGCTTCATTGTTGGGTTAACAAACAACTTATGTATATAAGCTTTATAATCCAGCACCAGTTATTAGACCCTGAGGTATTTCAGCACAAGTTGTACACCATTTTTAATGTCTGCATAGACATAACCTTAACAGAATACCTTGTAGAAGTATGATTTTTCCATTCAGTAATTCAATACTGAAGGCTTAAAAAAATCAGAAAAAAATTACTAATCTGTTATCTGGTAACTGGCAGGCAGGCATTATGGAGGAGCATGCTCTTAACAGTTTTTTGAGGGTTTTTTTTCGGGGAGTTGTTTTGGGGGGGTGCTTTGGAAAGGTCTGGGTTTTTTTGTTTTGTTTTGATTTGGTTTTTTTGAGGGTAGGGCTTGGGACATTTGGGGTATTTTCCTGGTAATAATAAGGATCACAATATCTTGTCTTGCTGCTATGCCTTCTCACCTGTTTGTTTTTCTGGTGAAACTAAATCCTTTCAAATGGAAGAAAAGAATAATTCTTGGGTTTTTGGCTTACGAAATTATAGTTCTGTCAGTCGTAACAGGGATGAGTGTCACTGAAATATAGAGAAATAGATGAATAAATTATACAGTTGTATTGAAATACTTGATATGGAATGGATCCTCAGCTGGTATAAAATGCTTTCTAAGTGGCTTCGTATTTCAGGTAATACACCCCAAATCCAAGAAATATTTTACTGTTGTGTCTCTACAATCAGACAGGTGGTTTGTTTTTTTTTTTTCAGATGATTAAATGCAAAACTGTAATAAATTTTTGTTAATTTTTGACAACTTATATCATTCTATTTTAATATTTTCTCCAGCTAAGTCTACTAATTTTAAATATGCTTTTCTAGAAAATGTAACAGTTTCAAATGTCTCACCTTTTCATGTCTGTCAACAGCAGATCTCCTTCCTTTCTGTCTTCTGCTACTGCCACCACTCTTCCTACTGTTCAAAGGCATTTTTGTGGGTGCTATTTGTGAGTCTTGCAAATAAGAGACTTTGAAGAAAGGGGGCACTCAGGAAAATGTTTCTGCTATTGCTGTATTCTTTCATGTGTATATTCCCTTTAAGAGGACGTTCTTTCTTTCCTTAACTGTAATTACCCAATGATTTTTAATAAAATGTTTACATTCTGCCTCAGCAGAGGAGAAACGCTACTAGGTTTTCTTTTAAATATGGATCAGTGTTTTGCCTGCTAACTGAGCTGTTTCCAGTGAACACAGAAAAAATGCTACTGATAAAGTAATGTTTTCAATAAACGGTGCAATTATAAAAAGTACAGGGTGAAATGCTGGTGCTATGGAAGTCAGAAGAAATTATCTATAGGTTTCAGTATGCACGTAGTTCTTCCTTTATTTTTCTGCTTATGTTACTGGGAAAATCAGGGATGTTTGAAGTTGCCTTAAAAGAAAAACAAATTCCTGTGATTCTGAAATATATGAAAGCTCTGTTCTGCTTGATCGCTAACTTTATACAAGGAGAATTTCAGACTATCTTGCATTTTTATGGGGAAAGAAACATTTGAAAAGGAAGAATGTAAATTTGGTCATTTGCTTTTAGACCTATGAAAAACTGGTGGATAGAACTTTCAAATATTTTTAATTATTTGTCCAGAAGAGTTATTTGTTTAACTTTTAAATTGTTTTAATGACTCTCTGAGTCTTTTATAGATGCAGAATGAAGACAAGCATGTTTTATGGTTAGAATTGTTTTTGCTTATATCTGACCATTTGTGAAGACATTCTTTGAAATACTTTAATTCTATGCAATATGTTATGTATACATAATACATGACGCATAGTACTTCTGGGAGATAACCTGAATAATTCACCTACAGTAATATGATCATGTTGCACTTCAGGTTATAAAAGTTTTATTGCCATAAGCCATTATCGTAGAACATAAAAAACCCCCAACACTTTAAATCAGTGAAGATGAAAGATTTTGGATTTTTGAATCATGATTCTGTTTATATTTATTATACCTAAATTTCATTTTATGTCTACTTATTTTATTAAGCTATAGAAGTAAATGAAAAGTTATGTTAGAGAGCAGTACAAACAATTTAAGTAGATTAATCTCTTAAATTTATCCCCTCCAATAAAAATAACTTTGTATACTTTAAGATGGAGTTGTTGGTTACTTCACAGGTAAGGAAGTAAGTGCTTCTCCAAAGCCAGAAAAAAAATAAAGGGAACTGGCTTGCAAGCTGATTAAACAAACGAGTGAGAAAAAAATAAGAAGTTCTCATTGTTTTGAAAATTAAGTAAAATTTCCAGAATTCTTAAACTCAAGTATGCTTTGTAACTTTTATAGCCAAAAGTTGGGTTGAATTTTATGTGTGAGGAAACAGGAGCATCCAGTGTTATTTAACCAAGTCCTGTTAAATAACAGGAATAAGCCATTATTTCACATCTGCTGATCTTTAAAAAGGAAATGATGTCTTTATTAATTCTGAATGTGTCAGTTTGAATGACCTAAATGATGGAATTTTTCAGTGAGACTGTTTGTCATAGGGATTATCAGATGAACTTAGTATGCCTGGAAAGTTTATTTAACAGCTCATTTACCATTATAAAAAGATGCAGGTGAACCATGCAGTAAATGAATGCCTGGTGTCCCCTCTGCACACCTCCAGTTTTACTTGTGGCAAGTAAGTGGTGTCCCATTTGGCTAAAAATTTATTTGAACCTTTTTTTTTAATCAGGTTGTTTTTTCTTGGCCACAGGTTCATAACATGCCTTAATTACTATGAATTTCTTTTATTTTGCCTGATATACTTTCAAATCTTTTTGACTCACACTGTTTACTTTTACTTAAAATTTTTGCAGTTTCCTTATATTTTGTCACCAATAATTTGGCTACCAGAGGCATTTAGAAAAAAAGCAGGAGTTAAAATGTAGGATTAAAAAGTAGGTGTTAGTAGATAGCAAATTGGACTTTCAGAAGCTCAGTTGCAAAATTTCCGTGGTTTCACATTACTCAGGGCCATGTAATTATATAGTAGGTCCACAAGGAGGACCGAACCTTCAGTATTGGAATAGGTTCAATATTGGAACCTCAGACATCAGGTGTCCTTCTTGACTCTAGGGTCAGCACAGAGACAACTGAAGGAATAGTATCTCAGTTGATACTGACCAGAAATTAAACCAGAATAGGGAAATAAATCACAGGGGTAGCTAATCTCTTTTTGTTGTTCTAGAAAACCCCTATTGACTTCTATGGCATCATAATATTTCGTTATATCTTAATTATATTTATCCTAAGGAAATGTTTATGTCCTATGGTGGTAGATATCATCTTAGAATTTTGAAGAAAGATTCAACGTGTAGAAAGTCAATTTTATCATCTGAGAATTGTCTGGCAAAAAATACTCAGTGTTTCCATCATACAATTCTGTGATGACTATACAAGGCCACTTGTAAAACAAGAATGTTTTACACTCACTATATATTTAAAGTAATGAATGACAGAAGTAAATCTGACTGTTTTGTACATTTTGGTAACGCTTCATAATATTTGTGAACTATCAACAACACAGAATAATGACAAAACCAGATGCTAATCCACAATTCTTATTTCAGTAGAGCTTGAATTTCTAGAATTTACATGAAGTCATATCACTTAGGGGAAATTTTTACCTGAATTTTCCTCAGTATATTGGGAATGATTAATCCAGCTTGTGTATGTCTGGTAAATTCACAAGATGATGATCTTTACTGTAGAGTCTTTTTGTTTGTTTTAATATCCAGATCCGTCTGCTCCACCAGCTCCATCTAATATCAGAATTGCCAATATCAGTGCAAATAATGATGGGAGTGTAAATGTAATGATTACTTGGGATCTTCCAGAAGAACCTGATATCCCAGTGCACCACTACAAAGTCTTCTGGAGCTGGACATATAGCAAACATGTAATCCCAGCTAAAAAAAAGAGAAGGAAGATCACCAATGGGGTAAGAAATAAAATAGTAAATGAGAGAGAAATACGGCTTGTTTCTGGCACAAAATAGAATGTAAGTAAAAAATATGTGATAAGTTGCAATGATTTCAGCAGCTGGTAAAGTAGTGGTCTTCATTTTCAATGTCACCAAACATTTAGACAGTTTTGACCTCTCAATCCGATTTTCACTGCATTCAGGGAGAGAAGTAGACTTCTGCCTTAAAATGCAGGTAAATACTATAAGATGTTGCAGGAGAGATGAATAGAAAGTTAAATGCTGTTTGTCCCTAAATTCACACCTATTTTATAATTATTCTTAAAGTGACAGTGCTTGTTTTATTTAAAAAGCCTGACATGATGTCCCATTGTTCTAAAAAAAAAAATAAAATTTGTGACACTATCATATAGAATAACCATTAAATACTCACTATAGGTCTAAGGAAAAAACAAACCCCAAACTCATTAAATAACCTGCTGTACCAAAGATCTGACATATTTCCATAGCAGCAAGTTTCTGTGTGTTTCTTCAATGATGTATCAAATACTGCTTTACTGGAAAAATATCTGTTGTGTTATCCTTAAGCATATTGCCTATTATTTTAAAGTAGTATTTTAATAGAAATAGGAGTCAATTACAGATAACAGGCTGAACTTAAGTCTCAGTGCTCTTAATAAATGCATTTTGAGAATTTGGTCTCGTGTCTATGTTAGCATTATGTTTTGACTCTGGCTGCCCACTTGCACTGTGATGAATGACAGCTGGAAGATTATAGTTCCCTCTCTGTCCCTCAGTCACCAAACCCTGAGAGAAATAAAGGCAATGAAGGCTGTATGTATGCTGAGTTCACCTACAGCAGATGGGCGACAGCAATGGTGTCACCGAGGGAGTATGCTGGGCCCATGCCTTCTCATGGGAACTGGTGGGTGATCAGGGTCCGGGGGCTGCAGAGCCACCACCACCTGCTCTGTGCTGAGCAGTCAGGAAAAGGAAATTTCCCCACAAATGTGGACAAAATGAAGTAATTTCAGCGGCTGAAATAACTCGGTTCTTTGTTTTTACTTCAGTTAAATACTTACAAAAAAAAGTAAATATGCATAGAAAAGAAAGTTCTTTCTCGTACTTTTAAAAAATCATTTTGGCAAGATAGGAGTAGGGGTGGACTGTGCTAGGTAGAAAAGTTTGTGTGTCTCAGGAAAGCTGTCATTGGCTAGAGATCTTCATGGGGGAGGCTACCACCTAAAGATACAGGGGAGCTTTCTCTCCACAAACTGGTCCTTAAGTCACAAAACACAGAGAATTTTAAGATTGAGCTGGGTCCTTAATGTTGGCATTTTGTGTAGGGTACATCTGACGTATAGATATGCTAAAACAGATCCAATACACATTACGGTAATTGGGACCCTGTTCTGACCTTGAACACAGGGAAATCCAGAAGAGCCAAGGCATATTTTATAGAAAAGGCAGGCTTTTAGAATATCTTTCATATTACTTCTGGCTCATTGTACTTTTCTTCTGCAGCATGTCATGAAACTGCGCAGCAATGCCAGTGAGATTCAGATTTCTTCCACAGGACACTCCTGAGGATATTGCTAATCAATGGTCCTTTGAATATTGTAGCAACCCTTCTGTCTAAAAATTGAAACTGCAGAAAACTTTAAAAAAAAAGAATAAAGGTGGAAAAATCTTACTTTTTAAAGATCATTGAAGATTTTTTTTAACCAGTTTTTAACTTTAAATGTAGTCTAGTCCAAATAACTTTGTAATTATTTCCATATAGAATCATTCCAGGTAGACAGTCAAATAATCTGACTACAACATTAACACCGTTAACTGAGCATTTTAGTCAATGTTATAAATATCTCAGCACAAAACAAGTAAAGGTAATTGATATGAGACACTTTTGACAATCCCTGAAGTGTTAAATATGGCAGTACGTGGTTATCTTTTTCACTCTGGGTTGACTGTCAAAATTCAGAGGCACAAAATATTCTAATGAAAACATGGAGTAGTGTCTTCTGTCTGAGATATGGGCTAGAAAGGCATTTTTATGCATGCATTAAAAAAATTTAGAAATGTAAGAATACTGAGAAGCCTTGGGTCTTTCTTGCAATATCTTAAGACTTGCCTTAATTTCTGGATTATTGACTGGAGAACAATAACTAAAAAAATCTGGTGTTTCTCCATTTAAGACACTTCCATGACAATGGAAACTGTGTTTTTCTTTTATGTTTTCCATTCTATAGCAGAAAAGGCTTTTTTACCAGTGAGGGAGGATTTTTCATTGTGGGTTTGGGTTTTTGTTTTCATTTTTATTTTCAACAGTTGAAACAAATAGAAAATATTGACAAAAGTACTGAATGTTGGATTTTAGCTGTCTTCAGACTGACTGTCTCTAGAAGAAGTTTTCAATTTGCTAACACAGAAATTGGGGAATAAAAAGTTTAAATTTCTTTGGCTAAAATAATTTTGGAGTAAGAAAACTTGTTGTATAGATATATAAAACCCTTTAGTTTTGACCTAAACAATAGGTGTCTGTATTTGCCAAGTAATTGCCAAAATTATGTAAACATCATGAAGGTTAACATTTTTTAAATGATGCAGAAGAACAGAGTCCAATAAAATATATTTTTTAAAGAAAGGAAATTTTACTCTGTTGAAATTTATACATGAGTTTTCTTTCCTAATTTCAAATGAGTAGTGTGCCTAAGGTAACAGGTCTGCTTTTAATAAGGGTCTGTGTTTCAGTAATACTATAACTACTTTGTATATTTATTCTTCTCTATTATAGGCCCAAAATCATGTGGTCCTGGAGGGACTCCAACCCAACAGCAACTACAATGTAGAACTGCAGGCAGTAACACGTTGGGGTCAGATACGCCTGAAAAGTGCTAAGGTATCTCTCCATTTTAGCACGACTCAGGACACCAGGAATAATAGTGAGTAACCGTGTTCAAACACCTGTATGCTTTGTTTCTTCTTTATCTGGAATTTGAATGTTTTCTATAATTATTTCTCAAATTAAAAAGAAAACATTTTCTTAAAGCTTTCTGTTTCATATCATAGTGATCCTGTCTGAGTGAAGTTGTGTAACCTTTTAATGTTACATTTCTTATTGAAAAATTGGTGACAATTTTTGTCTAATTTTTTATCTTAGATCATACTCACCTGAAATAAAAAAATGCAATGAAAATGGAAGCATTTGCACGACTATGGTGTTAATATTTTTTTAATTCACTACAGGTGTAAATAGTTCCTATATTTCTAAGTGGCTGGAATAAAAGCATTTCTGTGTCTTTGTCTTAACTGGATAGTTTTAGCTTGCAATGCTTTTTTCCTGACTATTTTGAGTAGTCTATTAACTCAGATTCTTGGACCCCACAAATACATATCTACTATGAACTGATCTAAAACCAAGTCTTCTGTTATCTAAAATGGGAATCTAAAATGTTCCATGCCTGACAAGCAATGAATTATCAAGAAATTGTTACACACATAGGACCCATGTTCACATTAGAATCTTTAGATCTTTGAAGAGATCTTTAGATGTCAGTATTTCTTGGTAAGAACTTCTTTAAAAGCCCACATGCTAAATAAAATAATTGAAAAGCATGTCTGAATCTGAAAGTATACCATGATTGTTAGTCTTAGTTAAATGCTATTTGTATAATTACAATACCAATTTACTGCCTTAGCTGCTGATATGTCTGATTAATCAATACAACAAAATTCTGATAATAATATTTTAAAGAATATAATTTTAAATAGCCTGTCCTGACTTCATTTTGTTTTCCATCCATTTACATTCTTTTTTAAAGTACACTCAAAGGATAAACTTTACTCGTCACCATTTTCATAACATAACTGTAATTACTCTTACCCTAACTAACCAACTGCTTTTGTTGCTGAACCATTCTGCAAGCGTATTCAGTTTGGATATACAGAAAGTATTTTAAAGTAGTTGTTAGCTATGACAGACCTTTATAACTGCAGTTGCTTCCCATTTTAATGGACCAAGAAGATAAAATAGTCCTAAAGATCCTTCTTTTTCCCATATTAAGCTAATTTTTAATACCTTTTTGGTCTGTCTTAAGAGACAGCAGAGGGCCAAGTTTTCATCTTTTCAATACACTGAGTCTTTTCTTGAAATCCATACCAGAATATGAGCTTGAAGCTCCACAGTGTGTACATATAGCAACCTTAGGGTAAATCCTCCATGAAGTCCAATGTAAGTGAGTATGAGTTCTGCCTTTTCCATACTGGCTGTCCTAGGTTGTACCTCTGCTTTCTGTCATCCTCTAGAAAGTGACCTAGTTTGCAGGATCGTGCACGATATCAAAAGCTTCTTTGAGTTATCACACTTAGTTTTCCTTTCTTTTCTGTATGTACACAGGAGATGTAATAGAACAATTACTACAGTGGGAACTGGGTGTTTAATTCCAGTAACACTCAGCCACTAAGCTCAACCAGAAGTGTATCATTGGTGTTTATGAGAGATGTTCTCATTTTGCCGAGTATTTTCCTAAGATTTTTTGTTTTGTTTTGTTTTGAGTTTTTACACTCCCCCCTGCCCCTACCCTGGTCATCTTCTTTATTCTGATTAGACATTTCTGTGAAGTTCTGGATCTCAGTGCTAAACTTTTAAGATGTTTAGTTTTCAGTGCAGTCATCTTGACTGGCATTTCACTAGATGGTGTCATGGCTCGAAGAAAGAACATGTAACTGAGTTTACTTTACATCAGGTCACAGGAGAAGGCTGGTGCCTGGATTTCGCCTGAGGCTGAGCTGTGTCCTGGTAACTGGTGTGAAATTCTAGGTGCCATTATACACACCTAGCCAAAGCAACATTGAGCAAGCTGTTGAAATTCTTTCTCTTATTTTACTGTGAGAATGGCTTTATAAACTTTTCCTTTTTGGAAGCAGGGATAGTTAATTAACTGATGTTTGTCAGGCTTTATTGCTAGTCCTGACATTAGGTCAGATCATCATAGTCTTTAAACGTTATACTAAATAAAGACTTTCTATATAACAAAATCCCTCTAAACTGAAGCGGAGTGCCTGAGATTGGACTGTGTCATTTATGGTACCATTCAATGTAAGAAACCCTTTCGCAGGCAGTGCTGTATCAACTCTCCATGGTCTCAGTAATGGTCTGTATCTCATGGTCTATATCGCCAATGGGTTTGTGTTGGGAGAGGAAGATTTTATTTCACTTTTCCTTCTCCAAAACATTGTGTTTTTCAGAATCTGATGCAGATCACATCTGATTTATTACCAACAAATCCTCTACCAAATAGAGTTCATTCTTTACCTCACATGTGACTTTGGTATTTTCATCATTTTCTGTCCACTCCAGTGGCACCTCTTTGCTATTATCATCACAGCAAGATTTAAATTCCTTCCACAATTTTGCCCTCTCCTTGATTGTTTTACTCCAGAATACAGTCCATCAGTTTCTGTGCAAGTCTGCTATCTGCTAATGTCTAATTAGTATACACTTTCTAATGCCTTGTGCTTTAGTTCACTTTACTGTGGTGACCATGTGGGACAAAAGGTTCATTAATTGTTGTGTTGTTTTGTAAACCAGGGTAATACTATACTAAGAGCATATTTCTGACTTCTCATGTACTTCAAGAATTTGACTGTTATGTTCGAGTTATGAACATCCATTTAGTTAATGAGCAGTATTTTCTTCTTAACTGCAAATCAGTGCCTGCTAGAACTAAACACATATTTGTTTTACAGTAGAGTACTTCAAAAATAACTTAATAGACAAATCTAAGCATCCTTTCTGTTAAAGCCATGAAGTAAGGAATTCAATATCCTTTGAGCCTAAACCATCGATATCTCACATTTTAGTGGATAGAGCACTCAGCTGAGAAGTGTGTTTGGACCTTTTGGGATATTTTTTAAAAATGGCTAAATTACAGCTTGCATAGAAAAGCAAATAAATACTACTCCTGGAGGAGATGCAAATTCATCTTCTGAATCTCACTGAAGTTAGGTAGGTACAGAGCCAGTCCTGCTTGAGATACTTTTGAGAATACTCAGGAGCAGATGGAGAAATATGAAAAAGAAAAAACATATTGCCTGAAATATTATCTAGGACATGACCTTCACGCCCCTTCTTTATTTGGGGACTTCCGTGGCCTTTGGGAAGTAGTTCCAGAAGCAACATACCAATTTTGCCAAAGTCCCACTGTCAGTTGCTCTGCTCTCTGTAGAATTAAGCTCTGGTTTTTTAGGTGTCTGTTTGTTCCTATTGTCAGAATAGAGAGTAGTCCGTAACCGGCTGAAGTAATTTAGTCCTACAGACCTCTGTGAGCTTTGACCCTGGCCCTCTGGCGTTATATTTCTCCACACATTGCCTCATTATATTTGTGTGCTTCACTTCTGGGAAATGCAGCAAACTCTCTGGCTTGATCCTTATATAGAAATATTTTAAATTGGTGTCCTGGTTTTTCTGGAAGTGGAGCAGACAGAGAACAGCAAAGCAGAGATTTAGTAAAATAAAATTACTTTAATTTGAGGTATACCTAATAGATTTGCGTTTGTACTTCTCTCTACCACTTCTTGATTTCCTTTTAGGTAGTATAACCATTACGATTACCTTGCTGAAGTTTGGTAGTCTTACTTTAATTTAAAACAAGAAAAAAAAAAAGTAAAAATTTATCAGATTTAGCAAAGGATTGACAAAGTAAAATTTGGCCAAAAAGCAAGTGGGTTTCAGCTGAAGCTACATGTAGGGCATAATGTTCAAGTTTATATGTTACTCATGGTAATTACTGAAACCTGACAAAAACTCTCAAGTATGTAGTTAATAATTAGCCACCTCCTAATTATTAGAATCTTAGAATCTTTACTTTTCATTTAGGTGTATTATTGAATGTAATACACTTTTTTTTTTTTGGTTAATCTGATGCAAATACTGTGCATTTAATCAGAACTGATATATTTGCAGATGTGCAATGAAAATGCAGTTTCAATCAGTATTGCTGCTTTTTAAACTGAAAATATCTAGAAATACTGTCAACCCTGCTAAATGTTGATGAACTGTTGCCAAACGAATCGCTTGATGAAGGACATCCCGTTGCCATTGCTTGTTGGAAGCTAGGAACGTAACACTAAGGGAATTGCTCAAAGTTAATTCTGCTCTTACAATGTTTTCCTAAACGTTCACTGTTCACTGTTGGAAACAGGAAAGTGGGCAAGAAAGATCTTTAATTTGACCTGAGTGTTCCAAAGGACTATATTTACTTTGATCTGATAACCGTGTGTGGCGTTCTGTGGGTTACGCTCAATGCCATCCTTGGGTTTTGTGTATATTCAAACACTGCACAGATAGAATGACCATGAATGATTATACAGAACTACTGCTAGACTCTATGCCTGTTTAAAAAGTCCATGTGTTAACATTTCTTGTTCTTGGGGATATAAATACACTCCCTTTCCTTATTATTATCTTGAAAATTTAGAGAGCATTTTCAAATTAAAATATATTTATCTTTTTCTCTCTGTCCAAAATATTTCTTTTGACTGAATTTAAAACAAATTATATACTTTTTTCAACCATTATGGACAGTTTGTTCTTTATATTAATTTTGTTTAGGTAAGATACTGAAATAAGATAATTTGGGTTAAAGATAGTATTATTTTCTGAATTTCAGCGCTATTAACATAGTCATTGTACGGCATTGTACTTAAATATATAATTCCTGATTGTTCGGTGTGTTGCAGAGGAACAGACATCTTCTGCTGTGAAAGCCCAGAAAGGATTGGTGGATCCTTACCCAACATTTCAAAGAAGAAAAACCACCCGCTTTCTTAAAATTGGAGCTCCTTTCTATCAGGACAATCAACTTCAGGTCAAAGTCTACTGGAAGAAGACAGGTTTGTCAAATATTTTTTTAAATTATTTTTTCTAAGGAGGAACTCTTATCAACTGCCTCAGAGATGTAGAACGTTGGTATAATATAATGAACCTTGTACAATCATTCAGAGTTAAACCCTATGCCCATCTTTTCTTTCCTTCAGCTTCATGTTCACTTCAGCAAAACATTGCCTCGTCTCTTTGTGTTATGGATGTGTAAATGTCTGGCAGAGGGAGATGATGTGAATCAGCTGTCCAAAAACTACAGTCAGTCATGCTGGGACACTGGGTCTTCCCAGAGCTGAGCTAATTTTTAGTGGTGGAAATTACTTTTGTAAATTTTTAAATAAGGAAGGAGAATTTGGCCTTATGTTCCACAGAGCTTTTATGGCTATGCATGTTGTCTCCCTGGAGTGTGGTTGGAGGGTCTCAAGCACATACAGTTCTCCGGCAGATTTTTTGCTGATGCCACTGCAGAATCACTTGTTGGACTTCATCAGTTGAGAAATGAGTCAAGAAATGAATGTATATGGCAATCATGCAGTGCCGTCACAAAAACTAAACTGTAGTTTGAACCGCAAAATTTAGAGTTGAACTGGCTCATGTTAAGGCCACAATAGGCTTTATGCCAAGCTTTATCAGTCACCTCAAATTAGAACAGAATGAATAGTTGGCCACAACCACTGGGAAACATCTTTAAGTTGATTTTCTGCTAGACTGCATGCACCCTTCTGTTTTTCAGAAAAATCTAACAACAATTTTATGTTTAAGTCTTCCAGTCTAAAGGAAAATGCCATAAATTTTAAGTGTCTAATCAGATTTAGAAATCCAAAAAGGGATTTTCCTTTCTTGCCCTCTAGGAGCATATGGGTTGTTACACATTGCTCCAGCTTACCCATAACAGGTTCAATATGCTTTTATTTGAATATATACTAACACTGTTAGTGTTTTAACTTGGAGCAATCTGCATGTGTAGCAGTAGAACATGTATAAAATCCATTCAATTTTTGTGTTTGAAATAAAGGGCTTCAGAATGGATAATCACATTTTTTTCTGGAATTTTTGGAAGAATTTTAGAAATATTTAGGTTTTTTTGGGTTTAGGTGTATGCAGCACTACCCTGAACGAAGAAAGGCTATATTACCATTCAATTGTGCTATGTAACATAAGAATGTGTCACACTGGATTGCATGGAATGCGAGAGGTGTCTTACGTTTCTTAAAAAGTGCCTGTTTAAATGGTTGCCTTTCTAGCCCTGCTATATCAAATACTTCCAAATCAAATGCTTATTCTTCCATAAAATCTGCAAGCTTTGGCTCAGTCTGATTACATACACATGTTAAATGTTTGTCTCTTATCTTGGCTATGCTAGTTTTCTTTTTTCTAGCTTTCCCCATTATGTTTCATTTTGCCTAACTTCATCGAAAGGTGGAATAATTTAAAGTTTAAATAAAAGGCATTTTTAATTGTGAATATTATGTTTACCTAACAATATGGGTTTGATTATGCAAAGTAAGATTTATATATTCTGAGCTTGGGACTGGTCACCTTAAGCTTTAGCTTTCTGGAGGTGAGATGTCAACTCACTGTTCAAGCTCCCATTATAGTCAAAAAAGAAGAACAGGTGACTTCTGAAGCAATTCATCTCCCACAGCAGCTGAATCATTCTCTGGAGATGCGCCTCTTCCTTACCAAGTACAGAAGGGAGCCCCAACAACTCATTTATAGAAGGTTTAGAGAAGCCTAACATCTCTCTGTGAGCTGAGTTTCAATTCTGAGCGGTTGGGACTGAAAAAATTGAGGGACAATATTCAAAGATGAGCCTTACCTGAGGTGTAAGGCTGGGTTGTGCAATTCACAGTCTGCAGGCAAGATTCAGCCCAATGAAACAATCGATCCAGCTGCAGCCCTTTTCCTGCCAGCCTGTTTCCAGTAAAAAGATTGTGTCCTATGACCAAAATGCTGGCACCCCTAGTGAAATTCACTTTACAAGTAGCTTTCCAAATTCACTGTTATAGTAGGTGGAGGAAAAATCATGACCAGTACAGCAGTATTCACCTTGTTCCAAAGTAGGTATCTTGAACTAAGTGTCCACTATTACAATGATAACTTGGATATTGAGCTTATAAGTAGGGGTTACACCGTAGTTACTTTAATGTTGACATACAAATCTGGAGCTGAATCCCACGCTGTGTTATATACCTGGAAGTAATATTTGTAGTAAAAGTTATATATAAGTTATATAAAAAGATGTAAGGTAGCATTCTCATAGTGGCTAAGACAAGAGCTAAATAGATGAAGTCAAGGAATATTTTATAGCTTGGAAATAACAGTGTTTGGGAGTGGTGTAATCTCCACACTTGGAGATCTTCAAAGACAGATATGGCACCGATTTGTTAGGAATGACATGGATTCACATCCTGTCACCTTGTGCCAGGGATGGACCAGTTGATTTCCTGAGTTGCTGACTGTACAGCTGACTCATCTCATGTGATTATATGTACATCCAGTCATATAAGGGAGAAACCTAGAGGTCCGTTTTGGTCATGTGGTGGGAGCAAGCTCTGTCCCATGCACTAGGGTGTTTAGGTGTACACCCCAGCCATGCAGTGAAAGTTGCCTTCATTTTTCTTACAAAACGAACAGTGATAGCAAAGAGGTGGGAAGAGGGGCAGAATATGGCAGTTTGTCACACTTACTTTTTTTTTTTTTCTTTTTTAAAAAGAAAATATCTGTGTTCTGAGTGACGGCATATGCAGTAACTCAGCAGGAGCCATTGCCTCATGTGGAACTGAAATACAGCCAGTTACCTGCTCCTGAGAAGCTAGCAGCTTCTATAAGCTCTTACAGGAGTTTGGGGGTTATGTAGTTACATGGATGAGGTACTGACTGTAAATTTACTAGTGACAAGTTGCTGCAGAGCAAGTCTTTTTCACGGTGCAAGGAACACAGCAGGAGAAGCATATTGGCTGTGTCTCGTCTTTATGAAAGACACCAGTTACTGGAGCCAGCTGCGTTGGGAACTGTACCCATACGTCTTTCTCCTTTATGAACTGCGCTGTCTCAAGTCGTGTTTAGGGAGTTGTAGGACGTACAATAGGAAATACTGAGAGAATTTTCCTCAGCCTACTCTATGGCCTAGTGTCTAGGCTATTTTCATTGCAGATAGGCAATCAGAGTTATAATCCTTCCTGACAGGGAATTGACCTTTTTGTCTTCTATGTGGTGGGTGAAAACAGGAGTCCCTGTTGATTGCTCTAATGTTCTCATTATTTTGTAGTTTGCTATTAAAAATGACACTTTTTTGGTACAGAAACACAGCCATTCTATAGTCCTAAATTAGGATGTGTGACTTCAAAACAAAGAAAAATTAAGAAAATATCGTGAAACCTGTGAAATAAGTATATTGATAAAGGTAAGGGTTCCCATGACATGAAAAATAATTGAAGAAATACGAGTCTCAAGCTTGAATATGTTGGACATTTGTAAATTAAGCAAATTTTCAGTTGGTTGTATCAATCTTTGCTTTGTCTGGTTTGATTTTCAAGTCTTTTTATACTTTCTGTGATGGACATCATGGTCCTTAACAAGGGGTGATTGCAGTTGTGATGAAATAAATACATTATTTAGATTTTTGAATTTTTTTAAGATGAAGACATTTAAACAGTATGATATGTTGATATAGAGTGTCTTTTAGCTGTGATGAAAACTTTAACAACTACTAAGCCAGCAGTCTTTCACTTTGTAAGAATGTTGCTCATTTTCTATGGTGATAGCTGCTCAGAAATTTTTGTTGTATTCCTGAATTCAGTGGCCCTACCGTGCTATTTAGACCTGAGATTTATTTTTTTAAATTTTATCCAAAACCAAGATGGCTCTGTAGAAGTGTCTTGTACTGCCTTCCAATGATGTAGCATCACACCTCACCATACATTACAGAAACAAGCAAGGAAAGGCATGTGTAGTTCTCGCAGTCTCAAACCATTTAAGAAACACAGACATGTTCCTGAGGTTGTTTTAGTTTTTTACTTTTCTTTCATTCGCCCTTTTTTTAGCCAAGAAATTGTTTTGCTTTTGAATTTGAACCATTTTACTCTCTCTAAAAAGGACAAAATAGAACAGAATCGTGGAATAATTTAAATGAGTTGGAAGTGACCTCTGGAGGTCAGCTGGTCCACAATCTGCTCAAAGGAGAACTCAAGTTAAGTCAAGTCATTCGGTCCTATCTGTAAGGCTCTATAACAGATGTTGTTACTGTTTTCTGAATGACAGGGAATTTGACCTTTATGAATATCATGCTGCAGAGGCCACCTAGCAGTTTAATGCAATGTACCTTAGGATTTCCAGAATGTATGGTGATGCCTCTTGACATTCAAAAATAGTTCTTCCGTTACTACAAAGAAGATGTATTCCTCAGTGTCATTTGCAGATGTGCCTCTAGGAATCACAGAATCACAGAATGTTTGGGGTTGGAAGGGACCTCAAAAGATCATCTAGTCCAACCCCCCTGCCAGAGCAGGACCACCTAGAGCAGATCACACAGGAACGCGTCCAGGAGGGGTTTGAATGTCTCCAGAGAAGGAGACTCCACAACCTCTCTGGGCAGCCTGTTCCAGTGCTCTGTCATCCTCACAGTGAAAAAGTTTTTCCTTGTGTTAATGTGGAACCAGTGAAAGACCACGAACACATCAGGGCTGAAGCTCTTGGTTTTATATCACCCCTCTGGATAGAATTCATCAGATCTCTATCCTCTACAAGAATTGCAATAGAGGGGGTGTTGCAAATTATTACTGAACTGTCTTTATTATACAATAAAGAAGTGAATGCTTATCAGTACTCAGAAACTGAACACAGTATTTAAGTTAATGTCTGAGTAAGTGGACGGAAGACCCTATTTCCATACATATGCATCATTCACCACAGTTTGGTGGCAGGAAAGACTTGTTTGAGCCTGTTCTTCAAGTGTCATTTCTTAAGTCACGTTAGCTTCAGTAAGCATGAGGCATGAATGGAATGTAGG